TCCCAAGTTAAAAAAAAGTGTATATTTTATACTACTCAAGTCGATTTCTTAGGATACATCATTTGAAATGATGGACTTATGATGGATCCTAAGAAATTTCAAGCTATTATGGATTGGAAGATCCCAAAAATGATAAGAGATGTTCAATGCTTTTTGGAATTTACCAACTACTATCGGATCTTCATCAAAGATTTTTTTGAAGTTGCAGCTCCACTTACACGTTTGACTTGTAAAGACAAACTTCAATGGAATCAAGAAGTAGAAGTATCATTTGAAGCTTTGAAGACAACCTTTATTTCTGTACCAAACTTGTATCGTGTCGATATTTTTAAGCCATTTTTTATGGAAATAGAGGCATCAAACTTTGCTTTGGATGCTATATTGTCACAAATGGGAACAAATGATAAACTTCATCTAATAGCTTTTCATTCTAGAAAATTTTCACCAGCCGAGATTAACTACGAGATCCATGACAAAGAACTTCTTACAATTGTGGATTTGTTTCAAGAATGGTGCCATTATCTAGAAGATGCTCCTAGTCCAATCATCGTATATATGGATCACAAGAACCTTGAATATTTTATGTCAACTCGTATTTTGAATTGTTGCTAAGCTTGTTGGAATAAGTCTTTGTCAAGATTCAAATTTAAGATCACTTATCGATTGAAAAAACAACAAGGTTTATCAGATGCACTCTCTAGACGATCTTACCTTGTACCAAAGGCAAGAGATGCTAGTTTTGATCAACAACGGATAATTCTTTTGAAGCTAGAACATCTCCATCTTCGAGCAATGAAATCAATAGTAACTGTTGATTGAACTTTTATCAAGCAAGTTTAGTTAAGTATGACTTTTGATCCTCTTATTCGTGATATTAAGAAAAACCCTTCAAAGTCTCATGATACTTCCAAGTTTGAATTCAAGAACAATCTACTATATTTCAAGGGACACCTATATGTTCCAGAAGATAAAGCTCAAATACATGTTCTTCAAGCTCATCATGACTTTCTAGCAGGAAGACATTTTGGATACAATAAAACTTTAGAACTAATATCCAGGGATTTTTGTTCACCCCAAATATAGAAGGCAATTAAAGATTTTGTACAATCTTATGATGTTTGCTCAAGATCAAAAACTCCTTGTCATCAACCTTATGGACTTCTTCAGCCATTACATATTCCAAAACAACCATGGTCTTTTGTTTCTATGGATTTCATCATGGATCTTCCAATCTCAGGTTCTTATGACTCCATATTCGGGATAGTAGATCGTTTTACTAAGATGGCACATTTTGTACCATGTATAAAATCTATCACAAATGAAGAAACAGTGAAGCTCTTTCTTAAAAATATTTATTGCCATCATGGATTATCCAAGGATATTATATCAAATAGGGGAACTCAATTTGTATCAAGATTTTAGTGGATTCTTTTCAAGATTCTAAAAGCTGTTATAAAGCTATCTTTGGCATTCCATCTTCAAATTGATGGACAAACGGAGTGTGATAATGAAGTTTTGGAACAGTATTTAAGATGTATCATCAACTACCAATTAGATGATTAGACAAATCTTTTACCATTGGTAGAGTTTGCTTATAATAACACGGTACATTCTTCTACAAAACAAACATCTTTCTTTGTCAATTATGGTTATCATCCACGATTTGATACTTTTGACTTTATAAAAGCTTATAATCCTACAACGAAAGATTTACCAAATCATTTGTCAAAGCTACATGCAACAATGAAGGTACAATTAAAAGAAGCTCAAGAACAATAAAAAATCAATGTTGATGTCTATCGAAAGGAACAACTACCATTCTACATCGATGGCAAGGTATGGTTACTTCGTTGCAATATCAAGACCACTCATCCTTATGACAAATTGGACTATCAAAGGCTTGGACCATTTTCTATTTCTACATAAATCAATCTAATTGCATATCGTTTATACCTACCGGAGTCAATGAAAATCCATTCAATATTTCATATGTCTCTTCTTGAACCATAGAAGACAATGGACATATCAAGAAGAAGACAAGTTCTACTTCCTCCTATAGAAGTGCACAATAATGAAGAATTCGAAGTGGAAGAAGTCCTAGATTCAAGGTGATACCAAAATTAATTAAAATATCTTGTCCATTGGTACAGATATGATATTAATAAATGCATATAGGATGTAATAAAGAATCTTGCAAATAGAACAAAGGCGGTGGAGGCTTTTCATCGATGACAGCCATGAAAATTAAGATGAAAATCTCCTTTATAAAAGAAAGAAGATCTAAGTAAGATAACATTCTACTTTCAATCCTTGTTTGTAGCTTCTTTGTAGTTGTAATGTTAAAGAGATGGAGAACCAACAACTAGCGGATTTGACTCAAGAGCCTTTGTTTGCTGATCTATCGGATAAGACATTATGATTGTCACAACCTTCAAGATGATGCAATTGAGATAAAGATCCTCATGAGTGACATATTCTTCCTCAGATAGATGGCGAGATACAACGCGTTTGGTATCACGACCTTGGAAGGGACTCATAATATTTGGCAATTTTATTAGATATAGAAACAACTTTTCATGGTATTCCAAATATTTTAATTTGGAAGAAGTTATGAAGGCCTCAACAACAATCAAATAACTGGGTGGTCTTCTTGCCCTGGTATGGGACACTATCGATAGTTGAGAAGCCCTATCAATCATCTTCGAAGAGAACAAAGATCAAAGTATGTAGCAAATACAATTTGCCGCATCTTAGACTTCCTCGACATGTAATCATTGTTCCTCGTGGAACTCGGCTCTAAAAGGGGGAGTAATGTCATGGACATATATTTATTATAATTATTACTTAGGTGATATGAATAAGTAGAAGTAGGTGAAAGTAGATTAATTTCATAATATCTTCTAGAAAAACTTCTTAGAAGCTTCATAGACACTGCTTTGACTTTACATGTGTTTATACTTGATTGGTAGTTTAGAAACTTGGTCAACAAGTTAACCACGTGCCACACATGTTGATAGCTTGTAAAACAAGCTAACTATATGGCGTCGACATAGAAAACTTACCTTGCAAGTTAAGATACGTGTTGTGCAAAGTCAACACGTTTTTGGAGGTCCTATAGAAGGTTGCTACATAGCTCCTAGGTAGATAATATATATAGAGATAAGAGTGAAGCCTTCTTCACTCTTATCAACTCTTTTCTTGCTTCTAGTCTAGTTTCAAGGGTCTCTAATTTTCTTGTCTTTTGGCAATAGCCATTCCAATTTCTTTCTTAATATACATATTTAGCTATTTCTATTTTTTCATCTTTCTTTGAGAAAAGTCTCACTTGTTTATTTGTTTTTATCCTTGACATTGATTGGTAGGCTAGTAACTTAGCTAAAAAGTTAGTCATATGTTGTATTGGTAGACTAAGTTACTAGCATACCAATCAATGTTAATATGGTAATCATAATGAATGTGTTAATTACTTAAAGTATAAGCTAGCTATTTGGCACATATATAAAAAATTTGTCTTATATGTTAGATACATGTCTCACAAGTTGGATACATGTCAAAGATCTTGTAGAACGTTGCTATATAGTACCCACTTAAATAATATATATGGAAGCAAGAATGAAGTCTTTTCCACTCTTATCAACATCTTTTTTGTTCTAACTTTAGTTTCAAAGAATCCACTCTTTTTATCTTTAATAATTGCCATTTGAGTTCTAATACTTTATTACTCTGAGTGAATATTTGTCTTTTGAGTGACACAAGGATATATAGAGGATTTTATTATTTGAGATTTATGTCCATGTCAATTGGATGGAAATTTGTTGAAAATTAATCACATTCATTATGATTACCATATTCTTCATTATGAATAGGTCAATTTATTAAAAAATTAGATTTATTTAATATTCTTAAATATATATATATATATATGTATATATTATAATAATTTTAAATATTTTTTAATAAAAATATACATAATTTATTTATTTACTTAAATATGAAAATTAATAAATTTTAATATTTTTATTATTACATTAAATGTTTAAATATTCTTCTTTTACTTTTATTTTTGGCTTTATCAAAATCTTATTGCTATTAATCCCACCATTTCTTTGAAGTATTATCACTATATATTTATAACTTTAAAATGTGTGTATAATATTAATAATAATAATTTAATACGATTGGAAATATATGTTATTCAATAAAAATATAAAATCAGACCACTCAATTTCAAACAAATTATTTTATTCTAAATATTATTAAAAGTTTGATTTTGTTTAAATCAATGCATCAAAGCTCTACCAACTAATTATCACACATACACACACACATACTTACCGAAACAAATTGACACCCACATTTTACATGTCTCAATCCAACAAAAAAAAGGATGAAGAATCTAATAATCCAGAAACAAAGCTTCTAGTGATTAGAAATGGCACGAAGTAGGACCAGGAGAACGCGATCCCACTGCAAGAGGAGTGACACGTGGAAGCTCCGACGTGGCACGAGGCACGCACGGCCCAGCGGTGTGAACGGGGGATGGGTGCCTTACCTTGCTTTGTTTTGCTTTTCCGCGTTGCAAGGAAGCCAATTGTGCAAGGGAGAGAGATGGCGTTGTTTTTCGATTACTCGAAGTGCGCAAGTGGACTTACTAGCATGTATTTATGCGCGAGGTGTGTGCTCAGTTCGCTGCTGAATACGCGGTGGAATGACGCCAGGAATGAAGCGAGAGAAAAAGAGAGAGAGTGAGTGAGTGAGAGAGGGGAGGGATTTTCGCTACGGAAGTTGGAGTGAGATCATCGACGAAGCTTGGATTGCATATGGCAATCTTCCACTTCATGCCCCTGCGACCAATCGGGATGGAGCAGTTGGCCCCAGCTGAATAATCGAACCCAGAAGAATTGCTCCTACCACCACAAAAGCTTATCCCCCCCTTGTCGGAAAACCCACGGCGGACGCATCTGCATGCGCACTCTGCCCATCGACGTCTCTAATCTCTTTTTCTCTCTCTCTCTCTCTCTCTCTCCCAATACGCTCTCCTTTTCATTCTTGCCTTGTGCGGAAGGAAAATTATTCTCCCGCAGCATAAATTATCGGAGCCGGAATCTTAGTAAAACCGAGGTGGGTCGCGCGGAATTCATATCGGCGACGACGCAAGCTCCGTCAAGTCACATCCAGCCGTCATTGAGGTGAACTGCTGGGTTTCTTGCTTCGGAGTTCAATGCTGTGGAAGGGTCGATCGTCCCCACCAGCTACCATGTGGCCCTGATCGCGACTTTCTTTGCTCTAGCTCTTGCTTGCTTTCAGAGCCTTTTCAAACGCACGGAGACTTGGCGCCTCTACACCCGGTGTACATACAGACTGTGCAAGCGGGGCGTTGTCGCGCACATCTACACACAGCGAGGGTGCACAGTGTCGCTCCCCTCCCTCCCCCCATCTCTACAATGACTTCTGTTAGTGCGCGCTGTGCATACGTTCATACCTATTGCCCAGGCGAAAAGGTTGTGCGCCTAGAGCAGTCGATGTTGACAGCAGACTCCTCAAAGGTAGCTGGGATTCACTGATCTCCATGTACTGCCATCATCGTAGCCTTTGCTGTCTGTAACCTAACAATAGTATATAAAACATGTGCTCAAGTTTGAGTTGCTCAAGATCATCACAAGCTTTCCGTAATCTGATTCGTGTGTGCCCGCGATGTGGGTTCCAGAGGACTCCAATTCCAATTGGAAAGATTGACGAAGCCACGCATCATCCGTAAGGAAGGGTTCCTGCTACAGCAATCAAAGGATACCTCCCCCCCATCAGGAGAAACCGGGGAGAGTTATAGTTAGTTGACGGAGAAACCGAGGCAGGACATCCACACACACATGGACAAGGTCGAACCCAAAAAAAAAAAAAGAATCGAAAGGTGAATGGGGAACAGGGAATGGAAGTGAAAGACATTACTTTGAACGGAGGTAAGAAGCGTCGGAACAGCTGTTGAAAAGACAAGTAAACTGACTAGATTGTACTGGAAGCTTGGCAAGTGGATGCACGAGACTGAGAGTTTCATGTACTGCCAATTACGTGCGTGTTTATTACACAACGGGAGTGTGTGTAAAACTAGTGAACGCATGGCTACGGTGATGGACAGTGCCCCAATCCAGGAGGCTACGCAGATAGGTCGGACAGTATTGGACCTAACTCGTCAACAGCGTCGTCGTCATCTTCATCATCATCATCACATCTGTGCACACAGACAGACAGACAGACATACACATACGCACTCTCAGGAAGAGAACGGTTGAAACAATTCTAAACAAAGGGGGAGTCGCGAAACAAGAGGTCGAGTCAACACGCAAGGGCTCTTATAAGGAGCACGTCTTGTGCTCGTGCAGGGTCGGCTGCCCTGCCTTCAGGAGTACTTAGTTTGTAGGGAAAAGTCTTCAGCGCCTTGTCGCGGGAGATTTGTGTGCATATTATATTGTCTTCCTCTATCTCCGTGTGGCTTTGGGTTGGTGGGAATACGAGGTGAGGTGATGCGGGGTCGGCTAGCACTGGTTTGGTTCGGGTTCTCCTAGTCTGGAACAAATGCTTGCGAAGGGCTGGGAGAGAAAGAAAAGAAGAAGCAGCACACAAGGGCAAGCAATAAGCGCATCTTGCACTTGTCTGGTGTCAGTTTGTTTAGGACAAGTCTCTGGTGTTTTTTTTCTCAGGGTGCTCTCGTGCCTGTTGTCTTCTCTCGACACCGCGAGGGTTTTCGTTGGAAGTAATTCTACAACAGAGGTTTGAGTTTGGGGGTAACAATTTCAAATAAAGATCAGGAAGAGTCAACTTCCAAGGACGAAACGCAAGAAGCTCGTGCATGCTTGTCCAGGGTCGACTGCCCTGTCTTCTAGGTCGTTTAGTTTTACTCGGATCTAGTCCCCAGTGTCCTTGTTTCAGACGGTTTGGAGTACATATTATCTACTAGCTTCTTGGGTTGGTGTTTGGGGGCGGAAATACCACGGAAGAGGTCCCGCTCCTGTTGGTTTTGAGTTCTTTTAGTGAGGAAATCAAGTTCGACTCGTGAAGATGCGCGATATTGGAGTATAGAGAGAAACAAGTGGTGGATTGTGGAAGGAGCCTGCGGAATAAGAATGATCTTTTAGTTAGCATGATGGGCTTGTGTGCGACCGCGGTTTCGTTGCTTGAAAGTTGCTGCAGAGATTGAGGTGGGTGTTTTCTGAACCGCGATGATGAGATTTGTCTTGTGGCTATATGTTACATTCATCGTAGAATGGAACTGGCAATCTGGAGGACGTGTTTGGTTATTCGATTTTCGTTTTGGTATGTCGTTGTGTGACATGCCGGAGATTTGTCGAGTGAATTGGATGCTAGGGCTTGAACGCGTAGCTTTGAGAGGAGATATAATGTGGGTAGTCACATTTTTTTAGATTTTGCGGGGGTCTCTTGATTCGGTTATTTTGTTTCTTAAATTATGGCGCTCGTCACTTCTCGTTGTCAGAGCACGCTTAGTGTGGATTTCATCTTCACCAGACTCCAGGAATTGTGATGGGTATTTCGTCTGGAATGCACTGTGAGTTTGATCGAGATTGGAGTAAGTGCATCGGGTTGATTCCCTGTGATTTCGACAAGAATGAGGTAGTTGGTACCTTGAGATCTGTATCTGAATGTGTCAAAATCATTTTCTGTGCAGGATTTTGTGCAGTTGTCAAAGACATTACGCTCCGATGGCATCAGACGGCTCTTCACCTCACACTTCGCCCGCTCCTTCTCCTCCTGAAAAACCGAAGGGAATTTCTAGAAAAAAGAAAAGTGCCTCACAGACCGAAGTTCTGGAGAGAGCATATGCTGGTAAGATCAATGAATGTCGCGGAGGGACTGTTTCACCAACGTAAAGCTATTTTCGCTTTTAATCACTCATTAATCTGTTTATTTAATAGTTGCAACACTACGGTTGCCAACACATGTGTAATTGGCAAGCCGATTTTACTTATACAATTAACATGTATGATGAGGGCATACCTTTGGAAGTGTGCTAATTCAAGTGAATTGTGAAGCTTCTTGTCATGTCATAGTTCAATGTCTAAGTGTCAAGATACCTGGCACTCTGTTTATTGTGGCCAACTGCGATGTGACATGTAAGATTAGCATTAGGTGGTTCATGTGTGAGAATTTTGTTGAAGCATAAGTTCTTTCAATTTATTATTTGTTACATGATTGCAGTGGAGAAATACCCGTCCGAGGCAACAAGAAAACTGCTTGGTAGAGAACTCGACCTTTCTGATAAGCAGCTCCAGATCTGGTTCACGCACCGACGGTACAAGGACAGGCGTGATGGAATTGACGACGAAAAATTGACGTTTTATGCCAAGAACAAGACCCAGGATCACATGTCAACTCAGGAATGTCGGTCATCTAAGAAGGAGGAAATTGATCAGCACATGATTGAGGAGGATTCAGAACCTGATGGATATCCAGCTCGAGTTTTAGCAGAGGAGCGAGATGATGATGAACTCATTGCTGAGCATGAACACACAAATGGCATGGATGCAGCTAACAACGGTGGGTATGGAGAGTTGGAAAAGGTCAAGCCTGGACCCAAGAGGAGAGGTGGTCCAAGGGTACCTAAGGATCCAAACAGACCACCGCGAAGGCCTGGCCCAAAGCCAAAGTTCAATGCGATGGCAGCAGCTGAACGGCAAGCTATAATTGCTGTCGAAAGCCAGTTGTGCGGACCACTTCGAGAAGATGGACCACCGTTGGGATTTGAATTTGATCCTCTGCCACCCCGTGCATTCACAGAATTGCCGATTACCGAAGGTGATTTTATTTCACTGATGAATTATTTAGTGTGAGAGCAGTCTGCTGCTGTTGTTGCTGCTGTGGTGTATGTCATCATCAGTGACAGCTCTTTGCTCTGTCTTTGTAGCGATCCAAGTTCCTCGAAGTTGACAATTATTCGGCCTTAATCGGGCTTTAGCCACACTCTGTGCTCGTGCTAATTGTGGTTTAATGTACAGTGCCTCACAATGCCGGAGTAAGCAGAGATGGTGGATCGGAAAGTTACAGTGAAAGGACTGCACTGCAAAATAAGTGGACCAAGGAAGTAGAAATCACGGATAACAAGAAAAGAAAGGTATGTACTTGCCTACGAATGAGCCAAGATTTTTTTATTTCCTTTTTATTTTTTGCATGTGTAGCACAGTTTCAAAAATCTTTGCACTAAGCATAATTCACTCATATCCTCTGTTGCGGGGCTCAGATTGGGGGTTTGCAGACAAGCGGTTCACAAGCTCAGTACTCAAGTGTTCACAAGCCCAGTAGAGGAGAAAATGGATATTGAAGTGGATGTTGCTTAGATCCAAATGGTGGTGGGTTGTTGTCTTTTTCAAAATCTATCCCGTAGCAGTCCCTAAGCAGCTCCGAAAGCTTTGTTCCTTGGTGTTGTATAAAATCAATGGTCGGCACGGGAGGTGGGATTAATTGGACCTGATTATTGGTACACGATGGCGGTGGCTATATGTACCCTTGCAAGAGTTCTCGATGATATTTGTGGTTATTAAAGGGACATGTGCAGACCGGAAGCTGTACCAGTGCCCTAAATTGTATCATTGTCCAGGTGGTCTCTCCATGGTCTAAGATTTAGATTTTGCCTCAGGAGTTGGTATATATTGTGTGTCCTGAGAGTCTTGTCCGAGTTGCGATTGCAGAAGTCGTTATCTCCCTTCATTCAAGATCTGTGTCAACTCTTAGTGTGCGCTGAAGGTAGAGGTTGTGAATCCTAGGGTTGGTTTTTCGGAAATAGCCTAGATAGGAGCTTTCAGGCACCACAAGAGAAGAGCTGGACACCAATGGTGTTCAACGAATAGTAGGAGGAGTTCTTAGCTTTAATGTTACCAGCATCTGCTGATCATCAACCTCAAATTCACTAGTTGGATATGGAGGTCTCCATTTGCCTCTCATCTAGAAGAGACGTTGAGGTTCAGGATCAGCACCAATGGTTGTCACAAAGCTTGTAGCAGGTTGTGATATTATACAATCTTGATTTTTGTTGAGTGTGTTTCACTTGCAGCTATTTTGTACTTGTCATACCTTTTGTAAACCGTGGTGGTTCTGTTTCAGTTTTTCTGGACCTGTCGATCTTTCGCTCGATGAATTCTCCTGAAATGCATGATGCCGACAAAATCACTTCTAGAAACTGGGAATAGCCATTCATTCATAAATTTTACATTGCATCACAAGTAACCTTGTCCACCTGTGGTTAGAGTTGATTTGCTTTCAGACAAGGATCTGTCGGAAGGTTTGAGAGAACTCTTCCTGGAAGAGTATGCCTCATAATTCATGCTATTTGTAAGGTAGATCGCTTATATGTGCAATATGTTATTCTGTATCATGTCAATCATACTTGAACCAGTTGTCACTGAGACTTGTAAATGCCAAAGAACGTCTAAAAATGTGGCAATGCCTCCATGTAGAACAGCCTGCCCAACAGTGAGATGCTAAGTCACATACCCTGTCCCCACGCCCAAATCACTGGTTCCGGCTTCAGACTCCAATTCCCAAAAGTGAGATGGGTTGTAATATGGTTTCATGCTTCGCGAATTTGGACCCTGGCCATGTCTCGACCTCATTTCATTTGGCGAAATTTCGCATGTTCGATCGTATGTGTCAGTAGTAGAGAGGGTTCATGTGAGAGCACATGGCGTGCGCCTATGAGTTAAGTTGTCCATGTTGCTATGACTATGGCGTCTAGGCGTCACGGTGGTGCGAGGGCTTTACACGAGGAAGCCAGAGTTAGAGTTAGAGAAGAGGCCGCTCGGGCACGAGAATCGCGATTAGCTGAGCAACGAGAGCATCGCCGATGTTTGCAAATTGCGTATCGTTCTCGCCTGAGAGCTCAGGAGTCGGCAGAGCAAGCGAGCGAACGGCGACGTGTTGAAGCGGAAAAAAGAGCACGCTTGAGAGCGGGAGAATCAGAGGAGGAGAGATTGCAGCGACTTCGTCACCACGCTGCGCATCAAGCCAAAAAGAGGGCGGAGGAGTCGATTGAGGAGAGAACAGAGCGGCTCCGCAAACATGCTGCACATCAGGCTAAAAAGCGGGCTGAGGAGTCGCTTGAGGAGAGGACGGAGCGGCTCCGCAAACACGCTGCACTTCAGGCTAGAAAGAGGGCTGGGGAAGCTCAGGATGAGAAAATGGAACGGCTTCCTGGAGATCATGTACAGCACGATAGCGTTAGGATGGAGGAATTTTTTGAGGAGAGAACACAAGATCATGGGCCCTTGAAGCAGGAACGCGACATGAATTAGGTCTTATGAACGGGTGTGGTTTTGCGCACTTTTCTTTCTCAGCTATGCCGCTGCAACCCCAATGTCAAGTTCGTGCCGTGTGTTGTGTCTGCCCTGTCCTCGGCTCGTCCTCAATATTACTGTTCATGCGGGGTTCGATTTCGAAATGGGAGGATGAGCAAATTGAAGCAAATCGACTTTAATGAGGTAAAGTTTGTGGCACCGAAATAAAGTCTTCAGAAAAATGCACATATATTGCAGCCCTGGCAATTAGTTCGGTGCGAACCGAGAGAGGGAGCTGTCCTTATTCATCATTATTGAGAATTGTGAATTTTTTCGAGTAGGTTTGCGCAATTAGTAACTGCGATGGAAAACTTCGCCAGAGACGAGGGCGTATTCAAACGGTGCTTGTGAGATGCGTAGAGCTCATTGTCTTAGTGCGGTTGCTTTATGTAACCAAGCAGGATCTTCTGAAGGAGACAGTGACTACCACTCGTCGGTTCTTTGGCTTGGCCAATTATCTCAAGGTGATCCATGAACCTGAGATTTATATTGAAGATCCTTTTGATATGAAAGCACGTTTTGATCTATTTGCTTTAGAGTTAGAAGGCTAGAACGACGGGCGCGAATGCGACATTTGCATATCTTCTCTTGTAACGAACAGCTTTGTAGTTTCCAAGGCAGCTTTTGTTGGTCGACTTTTCTGACGTAAATAGTGCTACTCAGCGATCCTCCCGTTTGTTTTAGTTTGGGTTTTAGTATCGAGGCTGAGACTTGTTAAAAAATTTAAGCCTGGCGCTGTGGTTATGCTATCAGATAAGATGGACTACACTACTTCACTGTGTTGCGGCAACATGAGGACTAAAGTCGATTGAAGAATACCACAGGGTTTGTTAATTATTGGGAGCAAAAACGAGTTCTGTTGTTAGCGTATCTGATTTGGCAAGGCGATTTACATCAAGGGCTGAAGATTTTGGATTGTTAGTATATCCTTAACTCTACATTTATTTTGGTGTGTCCTCTTCAATCGTGCAAAACCTTGACTCGGGCTCTCTCTACAAGTTAATAAAGATGTTATATACTGATCTAACAGGTTTAGTCGGAAATGGTCATGCTGTACATGGTGTCTTCCAGCGCCTCCTTAGATTCAATCAGCAGCCACCAGCTGCTCATCCGCATTTCTCTGCGATGGAGTGCACGGAGCAGATGAATGTATACCCATGCATTTGATGCGAGGATTGTCACTGACTTTATCATTGGGTTCGGCCCAGAACTTTGATTCGACTTTGCTTTACTCCCCACATAACGTGATGAAAGTAAGGATTGGGGCCACATAACTCATGGCTATTTTTGAAAGCCATTAAACAATATATGTCATGTAAGCATTTCATGTGCAGACGGCAATTTATTGAAAAGTTTGAACCTAAAGAATAACGAAGAATGTAATTATGACAGCGTGTATGGACGTGACGGACATTCGAGATACTAGGGTCAGTAGCCATGATTCTCAAGTCACTGCCATCCTATGTATTTCTAGTGATGTTTATGAACGAGGGTAATATGTGAGGGTTCATTGTTCAGGAACTGTGGGTGGCATATTCCTTGGTGTCACCGCCAATCCAATGATCATCCTGGAAGAACACATTTTTTAACGCGTGGTTTCTAATAAACCACTGTTAGTCGTGAACTGTTATTGTCTGAGCCCAGGTCGTGGTACCGAATTCCTTCTTCAAATTCGTGTCTTGGTGGTGTGGCGAAGCTCACGGACATATACGTCACAGCATCGAAGGAGTTGTGCACGCTTCTGGTAGGGTCGGAGAATTTCTTCTTAAGCGGGGAACTAACTACACCCAATGTTTGAGGATCAACTCTTTTGAAAGCATTCTGTGAAGTCATTCTCAGGTTGTATTGAGACTCTTCCTCTGTCCTTACGTATGTATAGGATAAACTTGCCTTGGACAGAATCATTGGATAATAAAATCTTTCCATTACGAGTGCTACCTTTCATGTATTAACTATTCCTGAATGGGAAATGAACAGCTGCAATGCACTGGTCGCTTGAGATGCCTGCTACTAGAAACAAATAGGTATTATATGATCAGTTCAAGTCCGACAGTAGGATGTCAATGATTAGGTCGGCCATTTGAACGTCGTTCTAATCAATTTATTTGAGACAACCTAAAGAGCAAAGATTTGAAAGCATTTTTAGAAACAAAGGAAAAAATATTTCTGGACATTTTTGCTTCAACCCATTTATTGTATTCAGAGCAGGAGATTTTGCCTTGTGGTGTGGCAAGTTCATGATGAGTACAGAAAGTCGAGTACCATTTTCACAGCTACAACAAAGAACTTATCTTGGATATTGCTTGTGCATCTTACTGTCTTGAAGAGTAACAATGCAAATGTATTAGATATGTGGTATTTTTTATTTTTTTATTTTTATTTTTTATAGTGTGGACCTTAAAACAGACAGTAAATGTTACATTATATTCTTCTATATTTTTGCTTAATTTGACATGGAGCTGTATTGAGAAAATATATTTAAATGTAATATTGCAAAACACAAGATTACACCGAAATGCATAATGCTATATGCACATGATAATTCCAATTATGATAAGTCATGGTCCATGATGTCAGAAGATTGTAGAGTATGTCTACATAAGAAGACATCATATTTTTATGTGTATCTTTCAGTATCATAATACATAGAGAAAAGATGGATATATATATATATATATATATATATTTTTTTTATTTGGAGATGTAACACGCAATTGATAAAGCATGTTCACAATTGAAAACTTATACAAACCTTAAGCAGTATATTATAGTAATTGCATCTAAAAGATGTAAATATTACCTAATTATGTTATAAGATTGAATTGATGGATGTTAGTGGATCATTCTTCCAATTAGTAAATTTAAACAGTATTGATATTAGCTATAATAATAATTCAAATATTGAACAAATAATAAATGCATTATAGGTTGCTAAAAATTATTATATGAAATCAATGTTCTTAAGCTATATATGTTTTTGGCAAACTGATGATCAAATAATAAAATACAAAATAAAATCATATTAAGTTCTTAATTTTTTATTTAAAAAATATATATATACATACATACATACATACATACATACATACATAAATACATACATACATATACACTTAGAGAAAGAAATGATAATATATGAAAAAATTAATTTAATTCTAAATAAAAATCTAAACTCTAATAAATTAAAGAGCTATGGAAATTAACTAACATTAATTTTTAATCTAAGAGACCAAATGATAAAATAAAAAATTATTACCTACAATCTTTGAATCTAACATAATACAAATTATGTACCAAATACCAAACTTTTTAATGTTTGAGCATCCAGGACCATCAATATAACTCCTCTGCTTAGTAGACTATTCCATGATCTCGATACCTAGCTCATAATTCTCACTCAATAATATTCAAAATTGATTTTGAAATGATCCATACAACAACAAAAATATAATATTATCAAAATAATATTCAAAATGATTGTCAATTCAACTATTGTATTAAAACTTTACCAGCAATCTTCAATCAGTAAATTAGTATTGCCTTCCAAACACAATAAAAAACACCCTTGCTAATGCTTTAAATTCTACAATCCTTGAATAATTTCTTTGTTTTAAGGAAAAGATGTAGTTGAATAGAATGAGAGAGAATACTTTTATACTTGACATTATTCAAAAAAATAAAATTATTGAAGTTGTATTTTTTACCTTCAAATTGGTACCATCTATTTTGTATAATTTTTCTATTATGTTGATCACGTGTACTTTGAACATCTACTCAAGATAATAGCTGCTCTTGGATAAGTTACCACTCTAGAACTCATAAAAAAATGAGATTCCTAGTTTTAGCATCTTTTGTCTACTTTTGTTTCAAATTCCTCTCTTCAACACCAACTTCTTGTCCAATTTGATACTCACTAAAAAGGTGCACAAATAATTTACCTACATGAACAACATACTTGAGTAAAGTGTGGCAATAAAGATTTGCTTCAAAATGAAGAACAAGCTCTCAAGTGTCATACAAAAATTTAGCTTCAAAATCTATTAAAGAAATTAATATTAATCCATTTAATAGTCGTGTCATTAGGACTCATCTTCATGTTAGGACATTTATCTTTGATCCATCATTCTCTTAATTACATTATTATTTAGATCCACAAATACATGATCTTAAATCTACTTATCTCAAAGAGAAGTGGATCTCATCTTGTATTTTCTTTGCACTTATATGAGCACTGTGAAACACTCACATCATGTTGTTTTTGTATCTTAGTATATTATAGTTTTGTGTTATATTTTGTTGATTGAATTATTTCTTCATGATATTAGAGTAAATAACTTTTTATAAATTTTGATTGTTAATTTGCACATTGTTTAAGTCAGCTACTTAGTAGACCACTATTTTCTTTTTTTCTTACCTTCTCTTTTTATTGTGCACTATTGAATTAGTACTAAAAACTAATCACTTGATACATTGCTCTTATAAATTGATTAAATACAATTAATTTGCTTGAGTTTGTTTATTCTAAAGAAATAATATTAATTACAAGTATTGAACAATGATCATTCAAAGTATCTTTGAATAAAAAAAAATTATGGGATCTAATAGAATCCATACTTTTAGTAAATCCAATAGTAGCAAATCTAAAAAGAGGAGAAGCTATCGACCCATTACAGGTGGTTGAGCCTTCAAATATAATAGATTTGGATTGAGAGATGAAGACATTTACCAAAACAATGCTTCAACTATCCATCTCTCCAAATTTGTGACATAACATCTTGGATATTTCAAATCCAAGGGAAGCATAGAACATACTAAGTACTATCTTCCAAATCAACATAATTTCAAATACTATGATGGTGTTAAATTAGTGAAAGTATTGTCATGATATAACACAACTAATGAATGAAAGAAAGAAGAAAAAATTATATTATAGAAGATCCTATTTTAAAATATTATAGTAAATTATCTTTAAAATATAAATAATAGTCAAAAATATAATAAAACTAAAAAATATCAATGTTTTTTTTTTGCAAAATAAACTTCTATTTATTTTGTAGGGCCATAATAAGAAAAAACAAAGTAGATTGAAAAATTAAATAATATAGGAACATATAGGAAAGAATTAAGAGTATATTTTAGTAAAATTTATCTTAAAAAGCCAAGAATTGATATTTTGAAAGGACTAGTTGTCAACTTGGGTTGTAATCAAACCATGAGGCACAAAACCATGCACCTACAATGATTTAGAGGTTTTTTTGTAGATCAAAGAATAAATCTTTAGAGCTCACTTGAGAAGAGATTTTTAAGCATTGGTTTTATGTATTTTAACCAATATTAAGATTTTGAGGGATTTTCAAAGTTAGTGATGTTCTTCGCATGATTAGGATTTGAAAAATAAAAATATGTTTACAAATTGAGAGTTTCTTGAGTTCTATGGTTTGTACATAGGTGAAATTTGAGCAATGTGTTGGTCTACTAGTTGTAAATGTGTATGCAAATTTTGAGATCAATCAAACAATTAGATTGAAGTATATGAGGATTTTTGTAGGTTGATGTCTCAAAAATTAGAGTTTGAAGGTTAGTGAGTATTTCTAAGATCTTTAGTAATCTATCAATTGGATTGAAGTGATTTTTTTTTATATGGATACTAAACTCAATTTTCAACATTTAGATGAAATTTGAGAGTAATTCAATAATTCAAGAAGGAGATATTGATACTAGAAGTTTAGTATTCAGATTGGAATAGAAGGCCATCTAGCACCTAATTGAATTATCTTAGATTTCTTTCAATTGATAAGTGTGATCAATTTCATCTTTCTTATACTTTTTTCTAACTAGGATATTAAGAAGTGCACAAATTTTGAGTTGATATCAATGGTTTCATCATTAATTGTTAAGATTCTATTTTACTATAGGTTTTGTTAAGAGTTTGTTTAAGATCTAGAGTTTGATTAGGATTTGATTTAATATTTATCTATGATTTGTTAAGACTTAGGATTTAATCTAGGATTTGATTAAGATTAGGATTTATTTAAAGTTTGGTTTAAAACTTGATTAATATTTGATTAAGATTTGTCTTGAATTTATCTAGGATTTAGGATTTTATTAGGATTTCATTAAGATTTGACCTAAGATTTGGTTAATATTTAATTAGGATTTCAATTAGGATTACATTAGAATTTTTATTTTTTTTATTTTTTTTATTTTTATTTTTTATTTTTTAAGATTTCTTATTATTTTTTTTAAAAATTAAATCATGACTTCTTTGTATTTTTTTTGTGACTTCTTTTAACTTTATTTCAATAAATTAAAGTTTGATTGGATTTATTAGGAATTATTTAAATTTTATTTAAGGCTCTATTAGACTTAGTAAAATTGCTATTGGATTTTTACTTATCTTTCACACCTAAGTACTTGATGCATTTTTAAGCAAGAACATATATAATACAATAACGTCTCCTTATGATAGAACAATAAGATGTATCAATAATCATACAAAATGTAAACAATAACTTTTGAGATAAGAAATTGATAAAATAAGAACCATAAAAAGAAGTAATAATACATTACATATTCAATTGTCTTCTTGCCATTTTGAAAAACTAGTATCCTAGATTCTCTCTAAAAAGACCTTGCCACTTTTGCAAGAAGTTTGGAATTGTATGCACATGACATAGATCAATGTTGCATAAGAAGGCTTGGAAGAAATCCTAGATGTAGCATTTATCATAAAAATAAGGAACTTATATAACCAATGTCACCATGGACATCATGAACAATGATACACTTCACTGAAAATGTACTAGAATCATCAAACATCTATTAGACTTCATTGTTCACATGAAAGAGACTTATTAAAAAAATCTTATATACTACTTATATACAAAAGATGTGGAAAATATGACCATATATAACATTTTTGCAGAGTACCAAAGTCTTTGTTATATC